TGGCCTCGGAGGCTGTGCAAAGCAAGAGGGCCTCACCTCCGCTTGGGCGTCACCGATGGGACTGGGCTAACCCTCGTTTGTTGTACACAATCCCTTGCCTTATTTGGGGGGAATCTTCTTTCCTCTCATGAATACAGGGGTTCGGGGTGCCTTCTCTTTCTTGCCTCTCTTGTTGCTCTATCCCTCCAGTGTGGGAGCTGTGACCCCTGAGGTCGCAGAGCCATCCACGACCCTCAGAAAAGGTATTTTGTGTTTGTGTGGTCTTTTTGTCGCCAGCCCAGTTCATGTGGAGTGACCCTGAATCCATGGCCCGCAGGGGACGGGGGCGAGACTGGGAGCCCTGTGGCTGTGGGACAGGTCTGTATCCTGACTGGTGGCAGCCACAYCAGGCATCCCGTGACAGACTGCACAGAACCAGACACACGGGTGTGCAGCACACCCCTGGGGAGGGAAGGCACGACTGGCGATGACCCACAGGCTCAGTGTAGCACACACAGGAGGCTGGTGAAGGGTGAAGTGGACGTCCCTGCACACTCTTCCCACCTGTCCATCTCTAATTGTTTCAAAATGAAAAGTTAAAAAAATGTAGTTCAGTGCATGAAAGTTTATGTGAGACGTTCTCAACTTGACAAAACTCGAGATGGAGAACACATTCGGTGGTTGCCAAGGACAGGGACTGGGTGTGGGCCGATGTGGACAGAGGCCGCCCGAGGGGTGTCTTGAGGCGATGGGCCAGCTCTGCACCCTGACTGCATTGTGGTCACGCACTGCGTACAGGGGAAAGCTGCACAGAATCTCACCCCTGTTAGGAGCCACAGCAAAAATATTGATACAGGCACCTTTGGATTTAATGACTGCCAGCCAGCAATTCACATTCATATGGTAATTGGACTCATGCTGTCTAGCTGGGCCCATTTTCAGGACTCAGGTTACTCATGTCACTCTTGTAATGGGAGAGTTCCCATTGGCTGGAATAGGATGGTAGGAGGGTGTTCCGGGGGAAGGGGAAGCCCCCCCCCCCTCAGGTAGAAGACACACGTGGCGGACCCACCTGTTAGGGGACGCACACGGCCTCTCTCTAAATAAAACTTTGTCTCAGTTTGACTGGCTTGTGTTTTTGTGCCCAACCGGGTTGCAAGATTGCAAGCCCGCGTGCACTGACAGCCCAGCAGGGGATYGCTCAGCAGGGGTGCCGCAGGCAGTGCTCGGCAGCAGGAGCGGGACTCAGCCGGCCCGGGGCGGGCAGGTTGCGGCACACCCCCAACACCTGTGTGCATGAATGGAGGCTACAAGTGGTGAAGCTGAGTGAGCTCTGGGACCAGGTGGGGTCTGAGGCCAGCGCCCGGCCGTGCAGGAGCTGTGTGAAGGCTGYACCTTCCCGCGGTCGACAGTCATTTCAAAATAGTTTTTAAAATTACACGAATTTTAGTTGGGTGCAGTGGTGCATGCCTGCAATCCTAGTGGCTCAGGAGGGTAAGGCAGGTGGACCGCACGTTCAAAGCCAGCCTTAGCAATTTAGTGAGGCCCTCAGCAACACAGCCAGGCCCTGTCTTTAAATAAAATATTCAAAAGGGCTGGGGATGTGATTCCCTGGTTAAGCTCCCCCGGTTAAATCCCAGTACCAATAAAATAAAATAAAAATTAACAAATTAAAAAATTTCATTTTAATTGACAAACAAATGGAATACACTTATGCACAATATGTTGTTCTCAAGTATGTATACAATGTAGAATGGTTGAATTGAGGTAACTAACATGCATTACTATACACCACTTTTTTGTGGTGAGAACACTTAAAATCTACTCCCTCGGCAATTTTCTTTTTTTTTCTTTTCTTTTTTATTATTAGTTGTTCAAAACATGACAAAGTTCTTGACATATCATATTTCATACATTTGATTCAAGCGGATTATGAACTCCCATTTAGCAATTTTCTTTTTAAAAAAATATTTATTTTTTAGTTGTAGTTGGACACAGTACCTTTGTTTTATTTATTCATTTTTATGTGGTGCTGAAGGTCGAACCTGGGGCTTCACATGCCCTACCACTGAGCCACAACCCTAGCCCTCAGCAATTTTCTTTTTGAATATTTATTTTTTGGTTGTAGTTGGACACAATACATTTATTTATTTATTTATTTATTTTGGTGGTGGGGATTGAACTCGGGTCCTTGTGCATGTGAGGGAAGCACTCCACCAACTGGGCTGTATCCCCAGCCCATTATTTACTTTTATGTGATGCTGAGGATTGAACCCAGGGCCCTACACATGCTAGTCAAGCGCTCTATGCTGAGAAACAACCCCAACCCTCCCTCAACAATTTGCAAGAACATAGCACATTGCTATGAACTATAGTCACCATGTTGTATAACCACACAGCTTTTAAGTCCATTGTGCCAAAAGTAAAGGTATGGGTAGTGAACGATGAAAATGGTCAGCCACCTCTCGGCAGCCACTGCTGCCATTCTGCCTGCAGAGCCTGGGTACAGGATTCCCCACCTGCCCCACTTCCACTCACCTCTAATGTGTCTGCAAGAACATGACCAGGGGTCGGGCTGGGGCTCAGGGGTGGAGCCCTTGCCTAGTGGAAGGCACTGGGTTCCATTCTCAGCACCATATAAAAATAAACAGAAAATGAAGATATGCTGTCCATCTACCACTGCAAAACACATGGTCAGGATGCAAACCTCTGAAGGCACAGCACCCAGAGCCAATAAGCCATCACCACTGTAGTCAACCTCTGTGTTTAAAGAGGGCACCATGATCTGCCACCGTGGCCTCCCTTCTAAGCACTCAGCCTTCCCGGACTCGCCGACAGATCCCCGTCCTGGTGCTGAGCTTGTCCGTTTCCAGGGGCAGAGGCTACATCAGCAGTTGGGTTTGCAGTCTCAGGCTCGAGAGGGACCTGGACTCCCACACAGATGTTTAGATCCACAAGGTTCCGCAGTGTTCGCACTGCAGAAGAAGGACTGATCGAGAGCCCAGAACCCAGGACCTAGGGTTCCTTCTGCATACAGAATGCAGTCCGTGTCGCTCTTTTCAATTTCCCCAGGCAGAGCAGACCAGGGTACAAATAGTGTACAGACAAATAATTAGGTACATAATTCAGCTGGAAATGCTCAAAATGATTTACTAAACACCACTTCATCTTCTTGATGTGTCAGGTTCTATGGGCTCAATTTCTGTTTCCCTTATAATTCCTTTAAGTGATGAAGTTTCTGCTTTGTTTTTTGCTAAGGCKTCTGATCCATGAACACTCAAGAGTGTCTTCCTGCAGCCCGGCTTTCATCCCTGAAGATGGCTCCTGCTAATGCCTGCACTGGGTCCCACTGCACCCGACCCTCTCTGGCCCCTTCCTTCCCTGCTGTCGCTGACCGCTGAGCCTGGCCCACCACCTGTCCTTCACAACCTCCCTTGGAAAGGCAGACACTTTGGCTTTACATTTAACGCAATCTCAAAGTGTCTTTCTAAACATAGGTAAGTCCCTCGCATTTACTGCTAAAACTGGCCTTATTCTATTATTTTTCATTACTTGTTTTTTTCCTTCTGTACTTTTTTGTAGGAATCAAATTCCTTTAAACATGCTTTTTCCTTTGCTGATCTGGAAAACAGACACACATTCCCATTCCACAAGTGGTAACCTTCAGGTTTTCTTTTCTTTTTTAGTACTAGGCATTGACTCCAGGGTGGCTCTACCACTGAGCTACATCCTCGGCCTCCCCCACTTTGTGAGACAAAAGATTTTGAGACAAGTCCTCACTACATTGCTGAGGCTGGCCCAGTTGCTAGGTTACAGAGGAGAGCCAGCGCAACCCTCATGTTTATGTGCACTGGGCATGGCAGTTCATGAGTGGAATCCCAGTGACTCRGGAGGCTGAGACAGGAGGATTGAAGTTCAAAGCCAGCCTTAGCAATTTAGCAAGGTCCTAAGTAACTTAGCAAGACCCTGTCTCAAAAAATAAAAAGGGTTGGAGATGTAGCTCAGTGGTCAAGCACCCTTGAGTTCAATCTCCGGTGCAAAAAAAGAAAAAAAAGAACCAAAATCACATGTCTGCATTTCTTTAGATGTACCACTAATAAACAGTAATAATTCCTCACCCACCTACTCGCTTGGAGATAAGAAATTAAATGTCACCATCTGTCCTAGCTGGCAACCCAATGCTGGGTTCACAAAATCTGACTACTCCAATAACTCAAGAAAACAACAAAGAAGGCACACAACCACACAGAAATACTTTTTCAATAATCTGGAGATGGCTCTGCCACCTTAAGTGTCCTTGGAAAGAGACAGAGCGACTGGACTTCTCTATTCTTATCTAGGGAACACACAGGGGAGGTTCCATGGAACATCCTATCTCCAAAAGGCAAAGGGGTAGGATGACCAAGGAACCGGTGAGTGTAGCTCAACCCCGTGGGCGACACCTACACGTGGAGCCACACCTTGCCATCTGAGCTGGGACCATGCCCAAGTCACTACAAAATGTAGTGATTGGTCAGAGCCCTGGTGCATCAGGACTTGAAGACATGTTCATCCACGGCAGCTCCTGACAATTAAATCCTGTTTAACTTCTGTCCTTTTCTTCTCGTAAACTTTAACTTCCACTGAAAAGGTCTGGAAGGTGAATTCAGTTCTTTGGTACTGAAGTCTCCTACTGTTTGCTCTAACAAATTACCCAAAAATTTTGCACCTTAAAAAACCTAAACTTGGGTTGGGGTTGTGGCTCAGCGGTAGAGCACTTGCCTAGCAGGTGTGAGTCCCTAGGTTCCATCCTCAGCACCACATAAAAAATGAATCGATAAAATAAAGGTATCGTGTCCATCTACAACTAAACATATTAAAAGGAAACAGCAAAACTCAAACCTACTCTTACAGTTGCAGAGATCGGAAGCCTGACACTGGCCTTGCTGGCTAAAGCTACCAGGCCAGCAGGAGGACGCTCCCTCTCAGGGCCCCAGGACAGTCAGTGGTGGCCTCTGCCAGGGTCTGGGGGATGTCCACACCCCTGGCCTTGTGGCCCACAGCCACAATCTTGCCTTTTACATTTCTTTCCATCACCTGACTGTCGCTCCCTGTTATCAGGACCTGGGATGACTCTGGGCTCACCTGGATCACGCGGGGCAAATCTCCACATGGAAATCCTCTGACTTAATCATAGCTGGAAAGGTCCTTTTGATAAGCAATCTAGTGTGGGAGGCCACGTGTGAATTACTCGGGGGTCTACTCGGGATGGAGCCACGGAGGTTTAGGTTCACCTTGGGAACCCTCGCAGGCTCCCTGGTACACATTAGATCGCCCAAGGCACGTGATCTCTATCTCCACTCTCCTGGGAAGACCCCTCTGGTAGCTCAGGAGTTGGGCATAGCTCATAGGGAACTGGACAACCCCCTCCTACCTAATCTGGAAGAACATTCCATGGAAAACCTTTGACAGTCCCCGATATAAATAAATAAAGCAAGGGTGGACTCCATTTGGCTCTTTTTAGTGTGGAAGCTGGATTCCCAAGATTGGCTAGCCCATCCCATCCCCGCTTTTAAAATTACGTTCTGTGTCCTGTGATGTGCAGGACATGGGCGGGAACTAGTATACTGACAAGTTTCAGATTGGGATGTGGACAGGTTTCTCTCTCTCTCTTTCTCTCTCTCTCTCTCTCTCTCTCTCTCTCTCTCTCTCTCTCTCTCTCTCACTCTCTCTCTCCCTGGTACTGGGGACTGAACCTAGGGGTGCTTTACCACTGAGCTATACCTCCAGGCTTTTTTACTTTGAGATAGAGTCTAAACCGCCTGCCTCCACCTCCTGAGGCGCTGGGGTTACAGGCCTGCACCTCCATGCCCAGTGGACAAGTTTAAGGGCCATGATGATGCCTGTTAAAAACATTACATTTTACTTTCAACACAGAAAATCTGTTCTTCCTTAAAGATCCTGAGCTGCTGGGTGTAGTGGTGCACTCTTGTAATCCCAGCCGCTCAGGGGGGTCTCAAGTTTAAAGCCAGCCTCGCTAATTTAGTGAGGCCCTTACGAAACCATAACTACCAATTAAAAATGACAATTTAGATTTGAAAAAAAGGTTTTAAAAGTTTTATTTCTTTACTAAAACCATTATAAACATAAATGATACAATTTTTTAAAAAATCCACACATATTCACGATGTAAAAAAAAAGAGTTGCAAAAAGAAAGGGAATGCTGTGGGCTATTGCATAGCTTCCCAGAAATGTTACTGACAAAAGCATGTGTTCCTTTTACTTCTTATAATACAAAATATTTCCTTCATCTTTACACATGCAAACACACAAATGGAATTAATAGAAAACCTCTTTGGTAGGTTTTCTCTTTTTTACATCTCCTGGACTCCGTTACACAGCCACACATACACATTGTGTTCTTTCTGTGGTATCTGTGAGTTAATCCATTCCATGTATGTACCATGATTTATCCTGAATGACATCTAGGTCTCTGGTTTTGGCTGTGAAAAACCGTGGATCTGGTGATGGTCGCCTGGCATGCAGGAGGAACAGAGTCCAGGGTCCAGCAGAAGACACAGAAAAGACCTCTTTGCACCCAGATTTTGCATATTTGTGTATTTCTTTTTCCTTTTTTTCTTCTAGTAGTGGGGATTGAACCCAGGGGTGCTCTATCACTGAGCTATATCCCCAGAATTTTTCATTTTGAGAAATGAGGGTTCCCTGGAGTGCCTTCCAAAAGGGCTCCCCATTCCACGTTCCCAGCAGCTCTGCAGGAGAGCCCTGACACTCTACGTCTTCACCAGATCTCTGTCTGAAGTTTAGCCATTTTAGTAGAGATGTAGTGATATCTGTAGTTCCCTAGTGATATGGCATTGAGTACTTTTTCGTATGCTTATTTGTCAGTTGTCTGAATTCTTTTTTTTTGATATTTTGGTTTTTTTAGTTGTAGTTGGACCTTTATTTTATTTTTATCTGGTGCTGAGGATCGAACCCAGCGCCCCACACGTGCTAGGCGAGCCCTCTACCGCTGAGCCCCAGCCCCAGCCCTGTGTGAATTCTCTAGTGGAGTGTCTGTTGAGACCTTTCTTTGGGCCGGGTTTTTATTGAACAAGTGTCCAGCTGCTGTCGTTACTACTGCTTAATTCAAGCATCACTTCCACCCAGCAGATCTGTCTCCCTGCCTGTGTTTCTGTTTTGGTGTTAATTCCTGGCATTATGGGGCTCCACAGAAGAGAAAGTGCATTCCTCTGTGCCTCCGGGGGCTGAAGTTTAGCTGAGAACATTCTCTAGTGCAGGAATCTCACAGACCTCTCACCTCCTGAGCCTGTGTCTGGGAAGATGATCCACAAGCCTGTCCAGTAGGTATTAAAGAAGCCAGATTTCCCCCCGGTCCCTCCTGCACCCTCTTCTCCCAGCCCCAGCAGAGAAGACAGTGTTGCTGACTAAATAGTCAGGGTTTGATGACAGATGATACCTGAAATTTTGAGGACTCTTTACGTTTACTATTATATTCCTTTTTAAATTAAACCCTGAAATGCAAACAATTCACATTAAGACATAACCAAAATGTGTGACTGCATTAAAACTGAGTGAAGGCACACTCATATAGGTAAGGTTCTTGTTCCCTATTCAAATATCTCCCATTTCTTTCTATATTCTTCTTCTTCTTCTTCTTTTTTTTTTTTTGGTACCAGAAATTGAACCCAGAGTGTTTAACCACTGAGCCACATCCCCAGTCCTTTTGTTTTTATTTTGAGACAGGATCTTCCTAAGTTGCTTAGGTCATCCCTAAAGTGCTGAGGCTGGCTTTGAACTCTCCATCCTCCTGCCTCAGCCTCCTGAGATGCTGGGATTATAGGCATGTGCCACCATGGCCAGGCATTTCACCTCTTAATCTTCTTGCATAGGGCTGGGGATGTGGCTCAAGCGGTAGCACGCTCGCCTGGCATGCGTGTGGCCCGGGTTCGATCCTCAGCACCACATACAAACAAAGATGTTGTGTCCGCCGAAAACTAAAAAATAAATATTAAAAAATTCTCTCGCTCTCTCTTAAAAAATAAAATAAAACAATAAAAATATTACCTTTTCCTAGAGCTTTGGGAAGCAAATAGATAATCGATTTGCTAACATAACCTAGATTAACTTGGTAAAGGTGCCAACCTTTAAAAAAAAATCTTCTTGCATTGTCTCTCATATGAGCTTTGTGGGGACAAGTCACATCTAAACCATAATGGGGGCCACGTAGTAGGAGCAAGCAGAGAAGGAAGGGCTGCCAAGACCCAGTCCCAGACTGTGGGACTCTAGGAGATGAACTAAAGTCATTTTGCGTGGTTGGCGTGTGTGGTGTGCCACCTGTGAAGCTACGTGAGTGGTCTTTTACTCCTTGCTGAGCCATGGAGGACTCAGTCTCCCTTTGAGAATGATTCCTGTGTGGAAACTGCCTAAGGCATGAGATCTCTGTCCTTGCTCTATCAATGGGACAGCCCTAGTAGCTCTGGAATTGGGCGTGACCCACTGGGCCTGGACAGTGCACCTCCTACTTTATTTGGCAGAACATTATATGGAAAACCTTTGGGTTTTCCCCTTATACAATAAAGCAAACCTGGGCTCTCACCCTCTCTCTTCCCAGTGTGGAAGCTGTCTTGCCCCTGCTTTTCAAAATGATTTCCATGGCGTGTGGTCTTTTTGTTGCCTTCTTTTTCTTAGCCTTATTTCGCAGCCAGTTCACTCCCTGCAGAGGAACTCACCTCAACTGCCCACGCAGGATGTGGGCAGGAGAGGTGGACAAGAGGTTTTGGGGTTGAGGGCAGAACATGACGTTTTTCATTCCCCCAAAGCTCCTGTGTGATGCAGGGATGATCAGAGGAGAAATGATTAGATTACAAGAGCTGCAACCTAACCAGACCGGCCTAGTCTGAATGGACCAAGTGGGTGTTCGACAGGCGGGGTGTGGCTGGTGGTGGGTCACGGGGCACTGTGCCCTACAAGGGTCCATCTTCCCTGCGGCCCCTTGCCCTCTCTCTCTGTGCCACGAGCCGAGCAGCTCTCCTTCACTGGGCCTTTCTCCCAGTGTTTCGCCTCACCTTGGACCAGAGAAATGGAGTCGACCTATGGACTCTAACCTCTAAAACCACGAGCCCCAATTAAATGTCACCCCTCTGAGTTTTCCCTGTCAGGTAATAAGGTTCACGTAGAGTATGACTTCTCTGACATCCAGTAAACGGAGAATCCTGCTGAAGGGTTTTCTACCATGGCCACATAAATGAAGTTTCTCTGTGAATTGTGAAGCCAAAGACAGGAGTGCTCCATAGAATCTCCACCCCGGATACGCACTGTTTCTCTGCAGCATGAATTCTCTGAGGAGCATCAGAGTGAGAACTCCAGTATTTCTTTGTTGTGAAATCAGTCCACAGCCTTGGAACGTTTCTATTCCAGTGGCAACATAAGCCTCCCTTCAGTTACACTCTTTGACGCACATTAAAATCAAGGATGTGGCTAAAAGAATTCTCACGTCACAACGAAGTTTTTCTCCAGTGTTTACAGAGGCCCAATTGTCAAAACCCAGCTGCTGAGAACTCTCTCTGCAGGGAGCTCCTTGATGTCTAGTGGGCTTGGATCTCTGGTGGAAGACGGCTGCATCAGGCCTCTCCGTCACCAGCCTGTGAGTCTGTGGTGTGCCATCAGGAGCAGGCAGGAGCTCCAGTGAAGGACTGCCACCCCACAGGGTGTCTCCGGTAGGATTCCCACTGGGTACAAGGCAAGCGTGGCAGAAGCTTCTCTGAGTTTTGCTACCATCATAGGATCTTTCCAATAGGGATCACCTGGCATTCACTTAGGGATGGATAATACGCAAAGACTTCTGTGTGTATCACAGTCGCATTTTCCTGCCTGGGTGAATTTTCTTCTCATTATTCAGGGATGATCAGTGCAGGAGAAGTCCTTGTTTATTTCCAGAGGTTATCGATGAAGGTCAAAGCTATGCAACTTTGTGTACACTTTGCATATTTTTTCACTTGCATAATTTCTCTAGTGTTTGTTGAAAATGGAGTCATTTTCCTAACTTTTTGAGCCAGGTTTATGAAATGTTCTAAAATGTGAATTACCTGTGTGGGGAAAATTGGAAATTAGGAAAACTTACACAAAATTATGCTATCTTGGGTACTAGATGCTGTGGACTTAGTCTGCTGGGACTGATGACCTCCTTTTAAAGTTTTTATCAGTGCCTTGTTATCACAAAGTGAGACTCCTTCTGCCATACCCACATGCACACAGTTTGCTCCCACACACGTCCCAGTGCTTCCCGCCCCTCTTCTCCATGCTCTGCCCCCTCCTCCATCTCTGGTCTCTGTACATTGGTGTGTCATCACTTTACATACAGTGGGACTCGTTGGGACAGCTCTTTACACACACATATAGCAGAATTTTATTTTATTCCTGCTTTTCCCTTTTGCTGTCCCTGTCCAGCACAGGGGACTCAACTAAGGTCACTTGTGTGAATTACAGACACGAATCACCTTTACCCAAGCTTCAGGACAGCATTCCTCGGCTCTCAGCCTCAGGGTCCCCAAAAGGGAGAGCAAGAGAAAGTCATGAGATGCTGGTGAGAGAGGGAAGCACATCTGGAAGTGAGCTTTCATTTGGGGGACACTGTTCTTAGAAAGTTCTATCCATAAAAGGGCAGATGAGGGTGAGGGTATGCCTACACGTGAAGCAGGTGAGGGTATGCCTACACGTGAAGCTGTGCCTTGCTGTCCGAGCTGGGACAATGCTCAAGTCGCTAGGAAACGTGCTGACTGGTCGGAGAATCCCCACGCAGGACACGCGTCCTGTGCATGCACACTGCTGGCGCTCTCGGGGGTCAGGACTGGAGGCATCCACTCAGAGCGGCTCCCCACGCCCTTTCCTTGGCTTCCTTCTCCCCCCTGGACACCTACCTCTCTTCTTTTTGTGAGACTCCCCCTTTCTTGTTTCTTTCTGGCTTCTGCATGAGACACATTCTGCCTCTGACTTTACATCATCTGCCGTGTTGTTCTACACATTCACTAGCCAACGACATGATCTCAGTTTTTCAGAGTGATACTGGTCACATACACATTTTCTTTGCTATTCATCTGTTGACAGGCACCTACTCAGGCTGGTTCCATGACTTAGTGCTGAGAAACGTGTGGCTGTCAACACTGGAAGGCAGGTATTGCTGCAGTACGCTCACTTGGCTCTTTTGGAAGAGCGGGGTCACCTGGCAGTTCTAGTCCAAGTCCTGGCAGCCCGGCCAATGGCATAGGAGGGCTTCCTCCCTGCGCTCTCCACGAGCATTTCCTATCATGTATTCCTGGCTGCCATTCTGACTGAGGTGGAATCTCAGTGTAGTTCTGCTTTGCATTTTCCAGAACGCTAATATTGAACATTTTCCTTTTTTTCATTTGCATTTCTTCTTTTGAGAAATTCATTTTAGTTCATTTGCTCTTTTATCAATTGGGTTGTTTTTGAGTTCTTTATGTATTCTGGGTATTAATCCTCTATCAGAAAAGTAACTTGTAGGGACTTCCTCCCATTCTGCAGGCTCTCTTTTCATGCTTGTTTCCTTTGCTATGCAGAAGCTTTTTAACTTGAGGCCATTCCACATATTCTTTGTTTTACTTCTTGTGCTTTTGGGTCTTACTAAGGAAATTGATGCTTGCACCTATGTTGGCAGGTTGACTCTGTTTCCTTCTTTCAGTTGTACAGTTTCTGGTCTAATTCTGAGGTCTTTGATCCATTTTTGCTTGTCTTTGTTTTTGGTACCATGGATTGAACCCAGGGTGCTTACCCGTTCTGAGGCACATCCCCAGCCCTTTTTGTTTCATTTTGAAACAGGATCTCACTAAGTTGCTGAGGTTGACTTTGAAATTTCCATCCTCCTGCTTCAAACTCCCTTGACTTTTGTCAGAGGATACATGGGTCTAATCTGGTTCTTCCACAAACGGCTATCCAGTTTTCCCAGAAACACTTGTTAAAGGAAGTGTCTTTTTCCTACCTTTCGTTTTTGGTACCTTAGTCAAAGATTAGATGGTCGTATCTATGAAGATTTGTGCGTCTTCCATTACACTGGTCTTCTGTTTTCATGTTTTGGGCACATCAATTTACTGTCAACGCAGTCATCTACTAAATCTCATTTGGAAACACCCTGACACACCCAGAAATAATGTCTTATTGGCAACCTGGGATTCCTCAGCCCAGTAAAGTTGGCACATAAGAGTAACTATTGCAGTCTCCCACCATTTAGCTTCCTTGTCTTCTTTTGGTACTGGGGATTTAACCCAATGGCACTTCACCACTGAATTCTATTCCCGGCCTTTTTAGTTTCATTTGAGACAGGGTCTATGTTGCTGAGGCTGGCCTCAAACTTGCCACCCTCCTGCCTCAGCTTCCTGAGCCGCTGGGATTACAAGGGTGCACTACCATGCCCAGGCTTGTCCTCAATAACCAGTAAGATTTCAGATGCCTCACACCAATTCCTCTTTTCTGTATTTCCTAACATTCCTTACAGAGCATGACCACATAAATTCTTACCAATAGAAAATGAATAGATGTATGAAAACCAGTCCTTTCCTTAAAAAAAGAAATTCTCTTCGTCTATGTTTCTCTTCTCCCCCTGAGCAAGAAAGTAGATGAACCAACAATCCAACTTAAGCGAGGATAGGATGGGAGAAAGCGAGATCCCTGGATCTGCTCATGGGTCCAATGCTCTTGGTTGACCTTAACTTCTACACTTGCAACTGGTGCAACCACCAGGGAAAGCAGTATGGAGACTCCTAGAAAAAGTTGGAATGGACATCATTTGACCCAGCTATCCCACTCAGTCCAAACCCAAAGGACTTAAAGTCAGCACACTACAGTGATGCAGCCACTTCCATGCTGACAGCAGCACAGTTCACAGCGGCTAAACTGTGGAACCACCGAGATGCCCTTCAATAAATGGATAAAGAAACGGTGGTATATATACACGATGGAATATTATTCAGCAATAAGAAGAGAATAAAATTTTTTGGCATTTGCAGGTAAATAGATGGAGCCAATCCCCAAAATTAAAGTCAGAGCGTTCCCTCTGGTAAGTGGATGCAGATCCATAACAGGGGTGCAGGGAATGGGGGCAGGAAAGATGGTGGAATGAGATGGACATCATGACCTTAGGTACAAGTATGACTGCACATCTGGTGTGACTCTACACTGTGTACAACCAGAAAAATGAAAGTTTGTGTTCCATTTGTGTACAATGAATCAAAATGCCTTGTGCTGTCATGTATAACAATTCAGAACAGACAAAAAATGAAGCAAAACATAAATAAATAAATAAACATAATTAAATACAAAGGAAACAAATTCTACAAGAAATATAGTTTATTTATCCACATTTTGTTAGTTCTTGTCCACACATAAATACTTTACTACAGATATATCAGTGCATAGATCATGGCTTTTTAAATTTCTAAGTACTTTAGATTTCATTATCACTTTTTTTGCGGGGGGTGGAGTAGGGATTGAAATCAGGTCACTACTGCTAGGCTACCTCTCAGCCTCTTTTCAAATGTAAAGCTTTTTAGGAGGATATGGCCAAGTGGCTTAGGGCCTTCCTAAGTTGCTCAGGGCAGCCCTGAACTTGCTATCTTCCTGCCTCAGCCTGCTCAGTCACTGGGACTGCAGGTGGGCCACAGCACCAGCCAGTGTTCTTTTCAATGACCAGATCAAGAATAAATAACAGATCGGACCCTTTTCCCCCGTCCGCACACCGCCTGACGCGGAATGTGCTGGGTGGGCTCCCCCGGGGCCCCGGCGCGGGGAGTCCGGGCTCGGTCCGGGTCCCCAGCACGGGGAGTCCGGGCTCGGCGCTGCCCCGGGCGGAGGCTAGGAGGCAGCCTGCTGACTCTTCCTGCACTTCTTGCCGCCGTGCGTCTTCTGGTGCCCGATGAGGTGCGAGCTCTGGGTGAAGGCCTTGCCGCACTTCTTGCACACGTAGGGGCGCTCGCCGGTGTGCGTCCTCTGGTGCCTGATGAGGTGCGAGCTCTGGCGGAAGGCCTTGCCGCAGTGCTGGCAGGGGTAGGGCTTGGCGCCCGTGTGCGTGCGCAGGTGCTGCGAGATGGCCGAGCGGTCGTTGAAGGTCCGGCCGCACTCGCGGCACTCGAAGGGCCGCTCCCCGCTGTGCACCCTCTGGTGCTGCGTGAGCGAGGAGCTCTGCACGAAGCCCTTGCCGCAGTCCCGGCACACGTAGGGCCGCTCCCCGGTGTGGATCTTCTTGTGCACCGAGAAGTACCGGGGGTTGCGGAACACCTTCCCGCACTCGCTGCAGCGGCACACCTGGCTCCCCTTGTGGATCCGGATGAAGGTGATCTGCAGGGCCCGCCGCCCGCCGGCCTGGCCCCCAGTCTTGCCCCCCGCCATCCGACAGCCGCTGCCCGCTGCGGCTCGCCCCCTCCCACAGCCCCTCTGGTGCGGCCTGCCCGGGGAGGCAGCGGGCGCCGCACTGGTCACCCGACGGCCCTGGGGGCGCGAGCGCCTTCTGGGAGGGCCTTTCCGGGGCGCGCCGTGGCTCGGGTCCGGTCCGGCGTCCACCCGAGCTCCTGGAGCTCGGGGGCCTTCAGGGAGCTGGTGCCGAGAGGGGCCCTTCTCCTGGGCCGGCTCCACTCGGTTCCCGGTGGCCAGGGCTTTGGGGACCCCACCCCGTGAGACAGCAGTTGAGGGGGCGGACTGGCTACCTTCTCCTGAGGATTCCTTCATTTTGGGGTCAGGAAGTGGTTTCTCTGCAGGAACATCAGAATCTGGAGCTAACTCTTTGCCTTCCGGTGTCCTCTCCCACCCTGAAAAAAAACACAGATTGTGGAGGCTGTAGGGGAMAGCGCCAGGATGGGATCCACCATGTAACTGAAGTCTCCTAAAGTCAGGGGACATCTCCCCCAGCGCCGCCATTAACCCTGGGAAGGCCTCTGAGAAGCTGTGCAGGACCAGAGGGGAACAAGCACCCGCTCTCTGGCTGCCTTGGGGCAGGTGGCAGGTCAGAAGAGCCTGCTCTGCGCTCTCCATCCAGTTTCCACCCCTTCAGGCCCACAGCTCCAGTGAAAGGTACTGGACCAGGCAAGTGAGCCTCCTGGGATGTCCCCTGTTGGCGCAGGGCTGAGAGAAGGCAAGGGTCCTGCCCTGGGGCCCCTGTGTTATTGTGAAGGTAGGTTCCGCTCACCTACTGAGACCAGGTTCCCAAAGGTCTCCAGCATCACATCATGGTACTCAGTCCTCTGTGTCGGGCCCAGCAGCCCCCATTCCTCCCGGCTGAAGCCCACAGCCACATCCTGGAAGGTCACAGGCTCCTGTAATACCATGCATGTGTCTGCTTAGGAGGACTGGGGTCCAGCAGGACGGCAGAAAGGCCAGAGTGCCTGGCACTCGGGATTCCTCTGCTTTGGTGGTGGGCTCAGAGACAGCAACTCCAGGCCCACCAGAGGTCCACAGGGACCTCCTCACRGATGAGCTCAGAGCCCCAGCTGTAGGGCAGAGCCATAAGCCAACCAGGCTCACTGTGCCATAGGCCTTCCCCATGGGGGGGACTGGCTCCTGCCTCTGTGGACAGTCTCATCTGGGTGCGCATCCACCCAGCCTGCCACGTCAGTGCTTTCTGGGGAGCTGACCAGGACTCCAGGGTAAGAAGCTTCCCCGTGCTCCCTGGGCCTGGACCTGAGAGGCATTCTGCCCAGACGGAGCAGAGCCCATCTGAGAAAGAATGGGAAAAAGCAGAGCCTTGAGATGGGCTGGTCCAGATCCTTCCCACCCCCTGGACAGCCCTGCCTGAAGCCTAGCCTCGATGGCTCATCTCACGAGATGACGTGTTACCTGAGAGCCTATAAATTCATTCACATGCTTGAGAAAGCCACTCACAGTGTGAACAGGACTGACCCCCTCTGCCTTCCTCCACACCCAGACAGCGGCTGGTTTCAGAGACCAGCACACTGCCACAGGCTCAGGAGCAGGATGGTCCCGAGCCCTGGGGCGCAGAGGCTCCCAACCAATGGGACCACCTCACAGAGATGCTGAGATGCAAAAAACAGGTGAGGTCTCCACTCACCTCATTCGGCACTGCCTCTGGACAGATGGCCACATCCTCCTGTTCCTTCTCCTGCTGAGCAGTGACCTCTGGACAGCAGGCAGGCCCCTGGACAGGGAGTCCTGGGGGAGACAGAGCATGAGGGGGCTGGGGATGAGTGTGGATCCTCCCCCAGGGACAGCTCCCTGCAGTCCACAGGCTGCTGCCCGCTCACACACCAGTGGGTCTCCTCCCGCCTCTCCTCTCAGTCAGCAACTCCTCACAGCTTGTGACCAAACCCCCTACCTGGATAGGTCCAGATGTGTCATTCTGCATGACCACGAGAACCAGTGTCCCCACTGAGACACGGTCTCAGTCCCCATCTCCAAGGATTGTTTGGGGACCTAGCTTGTCTGGAGATGGTCAGCTTCTGCCCAGCTCATGTGGACCCCTGTCCCTGTTCTCTTCTCTGGCTGCCTAAGGAAAGGCAGGTCCACCCAGCCACAGGCTGTGCCCACAGCCCTCCCAACCACAGCTCTTTCATGCCTACCTTCCTCATGTGTCCCACTGCCACCAAGGAGGGTTTACCATGTGACCCAGGCTGGCCCCCCAGGCTGCCTCCCACAGAGAATAACAACATGGAGCCCACAGCCAGCCAATCAGAACCCACGGAGTGCAGGTGACATGGGACATGGCAGAGAGGACGGGTCTAGAGGATCTACTGGAGCTCCTGGCTCCTGGCCCTTCCTTGTATCACCCTGGCAGTGTCACAACAGGTCCTCCTGACTCACAATTCTAAGGTCAGTCTTGGCGACTTAGTGACACACTGACTCAAAACGAAGAAAAGAGACAGCTCGGTGGCAGAGTCGCCTGGGTTCAATCCCTACAGCAAGAACATTAGTTAAAATAGAAAAAAAATCCCGACAGGGCCCTCAGCCGCAGGCCAACTTGGCCCTCTCTTCCATTCCACCACGAACCTTCCAAATCTCTCCCTGATGACTGCATGCCACACTGTGGTCACATCCATCCTGTCCCATTTCTCCACCTGCTCAGGTCCCAGTGTGTGCCACCTTCTGTGATTCCCATCAGCACCCTGGCCATTCTCCACCTGTTACTTCCCCTACCTCTCTCTCCTGCTGGACCACTGGCTCAATCCTGCCTGCCTCAGTGACCCCTTTATCCACCGCTCCTGGACAGCCGAGAGCTCCCGGGGCAGGGATCCCAGGAGGATGAACAGAAAGCACCTTGTCTGTGAACTTCTGCAAGAAGCTTGTGGAAAGACAGGCAGAAGGCAGTGCCAAGCCCCACAGTGGGGTTCCAACAGCTTTGACTCGTAACTTGGGGGACACAGACACCTTGGTGGATGGCCTAGGAACGACCCTCTCCCCATCCTTCCCAAGAGGGCCAGAGCTCTACCTCCTGTCGCTCCAAGAAACCCTTGCAGAGGTGTCCCTCACCTTAGCCATCCGTACACTCACCTTCCTCTTCCGACAGCAAGGTCACGTCCTCCACCAGGGCTACGGCGGCCTGGCAGTTCTCAGGACGCTGTGACTCCACCCATGTCCGGAACTTCTCAGGCAGAGCACCCAGAAACTGCTCTAGCACCAGCAACTCCAGGATCTGCTCCTTGGAGCGTGCCTCGGGCCGTAGCCACTCGCGACAGAGCTCACGAAGTCGGGCCAGAGCCTTCTGAGGGTCAGCTGACTCCTCATACTGGAATTGCCGAAACCTCTGGCGAGCAGCTTCAGGGTCAGCTGGATGCCCACCTGTCTGTTGGGCTGGCTCCCTGAGGATGCCTGAGCTGTGTTCCCCCTTCTCAGCATAGAGGGCCTGGATCTGGGCATTTCGGGGACCAGCCATCTCCTGGTTCAGTGTGAGGACCTCAACCACCCTGATCTTCATGAGGGGATTTTCAGCAGGAAGAGACTTCATCTGAGGGCCCAGTGGAACTTTAGGACATTCTGTAAGCCAAAAGTACAAGATAAATGGCTAACAAGAACTTGAAAACACAAATGAAAATCACAGTGAGATATGACTCCACACCCACTAGAATGGCTACTGCCGAGAGATGGACCACAGGCCTATAGACCTAGTTCAGTGATAGAGCACCTGCCAAGCATGCACACGGCCCTTGGTTTGATCCTAGGACTGGGGAACTCCTCCAAATACTAGTGAGGATACACAATGCCACACCACTTTCCATAGCAATCTATTAGCTCCTCAAAAAGCTAAATATATAATCATCATTAACTCAAAAACTACCCTTCAACTTACATTTAAACATAAGAAACCTGAAAACCTGTGTTTGCAAAAACTTATATGAGCAGTACTGTTCGTAACAGCTGAAACGTAGAAATCACTCCTGTCTACCAGGTGACAGAAGTACAGAGGCTCCCTGCCTGCTGACAGGATTACGTCCTGATAAATCCATGTGCATAAGAAGCATCCAAGTAAAAAATGCATACAGTACAACTAGCCTATAAAAATGTCATCTCACAGTTTCCAACAAGCTGGAAATAAAACAATCGCCAGGCCAAATGACCATCAAACCCAGGACCACATGCACAAACTGTGATCTACACAGCGGGAAGTCTGGCAACAAAAAGGGCTGGAGGACTGTACGTGACGTGACACTCACCAACCTTGACAAGGCTGGACTGAGAAGGAAGCAGATGCAACGCCATGTGCTGGTGAGCCAGCTGTATGAAATGCACAACAGGCGTGCCTGCTCTCAGCTGTACCACTTAACATGTGTCCTGGATATTCACCTCACCCGACCGAACAAACTGGAAAAGACAGCAGTGGTTTCACTGCAAATACCCAGGTTATCAGTTTCATGTAGGGCTCAGCCTCAGTATGGCATGTGGTACACAAACAGGAAGACACACTTTATGTTCCTTATTCAGTGGGATCCCGTCAAGTTAAGTTTCCTCCTTTCTGTCAAGTAACTGAGAGGTAAAGGCTGATAATCTGCCTGCACAGATCACATTCAAAGGGTCCTCTCCCATATGAGTCCTCTGATGTGAATACGAGAACTCCTACTGAAGAGGCCCCCATCTGTGTTCACGTAACAGTCCTCGTCAGCACACCTTGCTACACCCGAAGCCTTCCTTACATGCTTCCRTGTCCAGTAGGACTTGTGATGCTTCAGGTATCGTCCTCAGCAATCAGGTCCTCATGGTGTCACAGCTCTCAGGTGTAACTAGTTGGTGTTAAAAACTTTTTCAACTCAATGAAACTGTGGATTTTGCCCAGTATGAATTCTCTCAACACAAGACATTAGGCAATAAGCCTTTCCTGCTGCCACTGCACTCCTGAGAATGCCGTTTCTTCCCTGTGAGTTCTCAGAGACACTCTTTGGAAGACTTCTACCATCCAGGGTTGTTATAAGCATCCTTTTTAGTCTTCTCTGTTAAGGATGCCAATCTGAGCCGAAATTGGGCTTTCTCACACTCAATGCATTTATTCCATCTTGGTTTAAACCCTCTTTTTTTTTTAATACAAAACTACTATATTCTACTGATTTTCTACATTCTCCATGTGTAGGAGAATGAAAATGTGGGAGGACAGAATGGCACCACCTGCAGTACTTCTCTCCCAGAAGTGATATGGCCATGCCATTCTAAACTCCCACATCCCAATTCTCATGTATTCACTCTATAGCCTGTGGGCTCCCCTTAGGCTACACAAAGGATGAATCCCCCCAAATTTACCTTTCTTACTGCTCCACAAGATCTCATATAAATTATTACTGTTTTTAAGCTGATGTTTGTTGTATGTTTGCAAGAGCTGATACTTTCACATTTGTAGGGTCTATTTCCTGCTTAATTTCTTAGAAAGTTGAAAATGTGTGTTCTGCAGGCTTTTCTATGATAGTCTCTTCTCTGCACTAGTTTCCTAATGTTTAGGTCTAGTTTATCTCTCCCATGTTCCACTGAGAACTGTATGTATGGTAATCCTTTCCTGATGGGGTGCTCAGTGAGAGCTGATTCCCCCAAATGCCTTATCTTCATAGCATACTGTCCAATTCAAGGCTTTCCAGAGGGCGAATGCCATGTTTTAGCATTTATCCCATTTCTCTTCTACTTCAACCACCAGAACCCATGCTGCCACTCACTGGGCTATGATTGAAAGCTGAGAAGCATGCAGGATGAATTGCCAAAATGGGCTAGTTTTGTGTCCAATCCCAGTTCTGTGCACTAACAAGAGCTTACGGCCGTGTCACTGCTGGGAGAAAGCTACTGCAGGGGATGCCATTCTAAACTCCCACATGTTCATGAGCTGCCTCGACCCACTTCTGAGGTTCCCACAGGTGCATCCAACTGGTTTTGCAAACCTCTCTGGCTGTCTCTATGGTCCCTTCCCGTTAATATTCCATTTACAGAACCAGGAAAGATGTGAGAAAGTTCAGACTTGAATCAAGGTGGAAGCTACTATTAATTCTCTGTATAATTTGCTTAAAATTATTTCAACATGAAAAGAAAAAAAGTCTGTATTGCAACTTTGCAAAATCTGTATCTTTAGACTTTCCCATGTAAACGGCTAATACCAAAAATTTGAGTAACTTTTCTCCTTGATCATATTTTATAAACAAGATAGTGACACATATAGAGAGAATGCATGCAGTATACACAGGCCCCCGCAAGTCCCTCGCCTCTGAAAGCCTCAGCAGCCTTCCTTTGTCTCCCGCAGCCACTAGCCAGCCCGATGCACCTACCCATCCATCACAGGCCAGCATTCTCGCCTCTCCCCAGATTCTGCTGTGGCCGCCTCCCGCCTTCTTCTCCAACTACCCAGAGAAAGCTGTGAAAAGTCGGCACTCCCTTGCTCAAGGATGAAAGTCAATTCCCACACACAGCTAACACACAGCTAACGAGGCCTGTGGACTCTGCCAAGTTTAACGTGCATGTCTTTATGTCCCAGTCACCATCACCGGCACACTGGGCAGCTGTGTGTTCCCTGAATATGTCCAGCCTGTTCCATCTCATGGTCATCTCAAATGGCATCCCTCTGCCTGCCTGAAAGTTCTTTTCACCATCTTTTTTTTTTCCCCAAAAAGTGATACAGGGGTACTTTACCACTGACCTACATCTCCAACCCTTTTTAAGAAAATTTATCTTGAAACTGGGTTTCCCTAAACTGCCCAGGCTGGCCTTGAACTTGTGATCCTCCTGCCTTGCAAGTCACTGGGATTACAGGTGTGCATCACCACATCCAGCTGAGCTGATGCCACAGTCTGGCTGGGCACAAAATAACCGAACTGCCCCACAGCCTTGTAGGTTCAAACAGCAACCTTTATTCCCGAACTCTCACAGGCACTCTACACACCCTTCCCGGGAACACACTACCTTAACACACTACCTCCACCGGGCTCCGCGCGCCAATTCTCTCAGAACCCCACCAGAACTCAACGGGAACTCCAAAGTAGCAGGCGCCCCAGGCAGCAGGATCCGACCTAATCCCAGCAGGATCCGCCCTAATCCAGGAGCAGGGTCACCTTTCAACCATTCCCTCTGGCAAAAATGCCAGGGTCATTCTGACTAAACTGTGGCTTTCAACAAGCTGATTTCCTCAGGCAAAGAATGTAGACATGAAAGGTGAAGCTGAGTGCAGTGGCCATGCCTGTAATTCCAGTCACAAGTACAAGGTCAGCCTAGACATCTTAGTGAGACCCTCATAACTTAGCAAAATAAAAAAGACTCAGGGTGGGGGGACTGGGGTTTTAACTTAGTGGTACAGCACTTGCTTGGCATGTGTAAGACACTGGGTTCAACTCTCAGAGACACATATAAATAAAATAAAGATCCATCGACAACTAAACAAAGTAACAACAATAATAATACACATGCACATACATGTATAAATAAATAAAGTGCCCCTGACTTCAATCCTGAAGTCCAAAAAAACCCAAACAAATAATTTCACCCCTGCAGTATACCAATTAGCTCCCCTACAGCAATTCCTCGTGGTTCCTCCTCAGTGCCTCCCACAATGTACCATATCAGCATAGTCTTTTCATAATCTATGGCAACAAGGTTTGGTTTATGTCCCACCTGTTCAGTATACTATATGTGACAGAACAGGTCCTCAGAGTAAGAAACAGGGAGGGAAGGAAGCATCTCCTAAAGAACTCTGTGACACAGCAAAGGTCACTTTGGCACCTCTCATCTCAGGCCCACTTGAAAGCCAGCTGACCAGCCTCCGCTCACAGGTCTCCTTCCCKGGAGCACCACTAAACTCCTGCTCGCCTGTGAGCCAGCTCTCTACAGTGTCTCTGTGGCAGCCAGCCTTGGAGCTATTAGACCATCCAGAAGAGTAGTCAGGAGGTTTATCCATGCAGGACAAAAGAGATGAGCTGTCCCAGCCAGAGCACAGCCAGAGCCACACAGACAGGAACACAGGTTAATAGGCTGGAAACCAACACAGGAGGTACAAAACTGCTGGGGGTTTTGGGCAGGTAAGGTATGATTTGGTGACCAGTGCTAATAGAAAGGATATTTGCAATGAAGGGAATGAAAGGAAGGACTGAATGGAGGAAAGAAAAATAGAAAACCACTGAACCATAAATTCTAACAGGGAGAAACCAGAACTGGGTTCAGAAAAAGAAAGAGTGGCATCACAGATGCCAGCTTTGTCTTGTTGGGGCAAATAGGTCATCAATACAGAGAGGAACAGCTGGAGATTCCACAAACACTGGCACAGCAGAGGGTTCCAACACACTTACACCACAGCAGAGAGGAGACATAGGGGAAGCCCCCAGAGTGCTCTAGAGCCGGCATCACAATCGGAGAGGGGATGTGGCAGCAAACATGCAGAGAAAACTACCGCCCAACCCAACCTGAGCATATCAACACACTGACACAAGTGGGCAGCTCCAGCAGCAGTTTACATCATGCATTTCTGTGTCATCCTGGAAGGCTCTGGAAGGGAAACTGGGGAGATGCCACAGGGTCATTCACTAGAAATGGCTAAAAGACCATTCATCCATATAAAAACTGATTTAAAACAAAGCAGAATCCAGCCCTGTGCTCACCAGAACTCAGATGGGCACCTACTCTTCACTCTCAGTATGGTGATGTGTGGAAGAACCACTTATGATGAACTCAATCATGTGACTGTCCAAGGCAATAAAAAATTAACACCTGGCCTCCAACTTTATACCTGCTGGTCAAATTACCATGTATGTGGGCATCTAAAGAATCTGGCACACTGTTACAAATCACCCAAGAACTCGGGAGCCTGACATGTCCACCTGGAACAATGATACAGGACTGAAGACCAATCAGATCAGCAACAATGCAAGCCCCCAAAGGCAACACACTCTAATAGCATCTCCTCCTCCCCCGATGCACTGACATTATGTATTGATTAAGAGAACTACATGCTAAGGGTAGGGGAACATTGAAAGGTACAGCAACACCACGTTTCCACACAAAGACCTAAGCAGCACAAGAGACCTCTGTTTGGACTGTGCACTATGATCACAAAAACTGGATTCACATCAAGATGGTGTTTCCAATAAGCAAAGGAGAGGGAGCAAATGGTGCTGCAAAAATTTGTGCCCCACGCCACATGAGAAACTTCCAAATAAATTGGACAAAAAAGCTCAAACAGGGGGGCTGGGGTTGTGGCTCAGTACTAGAGCACTGGCTAGCACATGCAAGGCCCTGGGTTCCATCCTCAGCACCACATAAAAATAAATAAAATAAAGGTATTCGTCCAACTACAATTAAAAAAAAATCTTTAAACAAACAAACAAAAATCTCAAACAGGGTCAGGTGCAGTAGTAGCACAGGCCTGTAATCCCCAGGACCCAGGACACTGAGCCAGGAGGATCTCAAATTCAAGGCCAAGCTCAGCAACTTGGACCCTAAGCAACTTAGCAAGACCCTGTATCAAAAAAGTTTCTGGGGGTTTAACTCAGTCATAAAGTACCCCTGAATTCAATTCCCAACTTAAGAGAAAAAAAAAATTCAAAAACATGAAAGTAGTTTATATGGAAAAAAATCCAAAACCAAAATTAAGACAAGAGACTGGGGTGCGGCTCAGTGGTAGCACGTCTGCTTGGTATGCATGAGTTCTTGGGTTCAATCCACAGCACTACCCGCCCCCCCCCCAAAAAAAAAACCCACAACACATAAAACTTGTTTTTAAACTATACACCTTCTGGAAAAAGACCTTACATAAAAAGAGTAGATAAATGTTGGACTGAAATAGATATTTCAACATTAACATCCAGAATAGCACTCCCAAAACACAAATAGGAAAAGACTAAATAATATAGAATTCACAAACAAAATGTGAACTACAGTGAACATATTTTTTTGTCCCTCGGACTTACAAAGCTTAAGGAGACCACTACAAACTTCGGGGAAGGAGAACTTAGCACTTGAGTGGCTACACATGTTAAAAGAATTTGCTATTACCAGATTTTTAGCTTACTCATGGGTTAAACCTATGGTTTCTAGACATTGAACCTAAAGAAAAATCAAAAATGTGCTAAAAATGAATGTTGAGAGTCGGGATGGCTCATGGCATTTTACCAGAAGGAGTGGTTGAGAGGTGACCAGCGAGCCATTAAGATGATGATAATTAAGTTTGGCAGTGTATAATTGCTGTGACTGGATGATGCTGGATTGAAACAGGCTGTATATTCAGTTGTATATGGACCCCTGCTGTCCAGCAATAGGGCGGGCCCCTGCTGCCTCCTAGTTCCCGTTGAGTTCTCTTGAGTTTCCGTTGAGTTCTCTTGAGTTCTCACGGAGCCCAGTGGAGGGTGAGAGAGTTGCCAGGAAAGGCACGTGGAGTTCCTGTTTGAACCTACAAGTGCCTCCTGGTGGCTCGGTTATTTTGTGCCCAGCCAGACTGCGGCAAATGAATACTATGAAGGTTTTTGGAATAACCTGAATACCCATCTGGAAAACTGAAATGCGGACTACACTGATCCTGTTAAAAGGAATGGTAGGATCTGTGTTGAGCATAACATCCCCCAAATGTGAATGTCTGTGCACACACATGTAAACACACAGAAACTCCTGGCTGGGGACAAACCAGAAGCACCAGTGACTGCTTTAGGAGACAGCTGACAGCGAGTAGAATAGATGGGAGACCTTATCCATTCAAAAGGTAAACCTGTACCTATGTACCACCCATTAACAACAGGTTCACCTTAAACAATCAGGACACTGTTGACTGGGGACAGAGGAAATGTGGAGCTTGATTCTCCAATCAGACCTCCCCCTGGGGTCTCACAGTCTCTACTCTTTTCTAAAACACCAGTCTCTAACTAACCAGTGGACGCATCCCCTGTGAGAACTCCCATGTGCCTGGTTCTCACCTGGAAAGGTGTCTTGAAGAATTCCTCTTTCCTCTGGCCAGAAGTCTTCTGCCACCTCTAACTGAGACACCACATCTGGCTTGGAAAGCTGATGTTCTGCTCGAGGGAAAAGAGAAGGCTTGGGGCAGGGTCGGTTTGGGAGAAAACACTGTCCCAGCCTCCTCCCCTTCTAACACATGACATGACTTTGGGTTTAGGGCAATGACAATCACATCCTTCCCTTTTGTCAGAGTTTTTCTGAACTCCCTTGCCTATAGAGATGGCGGGAGTCAGGGTGCAGGCTGGCCAGCAAGACCAAGGGAGCTGGGGGACCTTCAGGGAAAGCTTGAACAGACACAAACCCTGGGGCCATAGTCACCTGATGACTAGGAGGAAAAGTTAAAAAGAACCACAGAAATGGAAGGAATCAAGATCTTTAATGATGCACGTTCTAGAGCTGTTGTATATTAACAGTCCTTGTTAAATGGTCACAAAAACAACCAGCATTCACTACTGCAGCTGAAAACATGACTGGTATCCAGGGAGCGGAGGTATGGATGGTGTGAAGCTTTGGAATCAGACTGAGAAGTTGCCTTTTTCCTAAGGCTACCAAAATAAAAGGACCCCCTCAGAGGCTTCAGGGCCTTAACATAGCTCCTCTGATCCAAGCCGACACACTTCTGAGGCGTCACACGGGGTACCACAAAGCACAGATCTTTCCTGACATGGAGGCCGGCCTTACCCACAGAGACCAGGTTCCTGTAGTTCTCCAGCATCACTTCCCTGTACAGAGACTTCTGTCTGAGGTCCAGCAGTCCCCACTCCTCCGGGGTAAAAGTCAGTGTTAAGTCTTCAAAGGCCACCGGTCCCTAAAACCCAGAGGGTCCTGTTCAGCCGAGGCAGATCCTCCTCCGTGTTGACAGAAAGAGGGGAAGGCTGCCCAAGGTGACCTGAAAGCATTGTGCGTGTCTCTTCTTGAGTTCCTGTCTCTGTCTGAAACCTGGAGCAAATCCGAAGTGGCCCTGTCCAGGTCACAGTCAGGAGAACAAGTGAAATCCCTAAATCTATGGAAACGTATCCATTTCTTATCAACCAGGGAAGCTGACGAAGACCGGCACGTGTGCCTCGGAGCAATTCCCAGGGGGGAACAGTCCCACCGTGGCCCCTGCTGCTGCCCTGCCTCCACCGCAGGAGGGCCCGCTCGCCCTCCTCCCCGGGACCAACGCACCCGACCAAGGGCTGCTGAGACCTAAGCACCAGGCCGACCCCGACCTGGGCTGGCTGGCTGCCAGGGTAAGGGACACCTCGGGGCCTCAGGCCGGCCTCGGAGGCCAGCAACCACCTCCCCTCGGGGACCGAGGCAGTCAGTCCCGGGGCCAGACCAGGCCACCTTCCCGCGGGGGCCCTCCCGCTGCACCGCGGGGAGCCGACCGCGCCCTCGGACCTAGGGCGGTCCCTTCGCAGACAGCTGGGGGCGCTGCTCACCCGGAGCGTGTCCCAGGTCCTGGCTCAGTCCCCAGGACCGGAAAAAAAAAAAAAACACCACCAAAACCAAACAGCCGAGTCGGCGCCTACTCACACTGCACCAGGCCGTCGGAAGCCGGGCGGCCATGGCCGCTCCAGGGTCGCTCGCGGGAGTGGGCGGTCCCGAGCCGACGCGGGGGGCACACGGGCGGGGCCTCCGAGACGGCGCCGCGCCGGCCGCCCCTCAGCCCGCGAACGGGCGCGGCTAGCGGGGGCCCCAGCAGAGCCCGCTGGTAGCTCGCGAGTCCGCCCGGGAGCGGACGACACGGCGCTACTACGTGCAGCTCCGACGGGCGCAGCGTCCCGCCACACTCACCCCGAGCACGCCGCACAATGGCGCCCGTCGGCCCGCGGCGAAGTGCGTCAGCCCGGAGTCCGCACTACAACTCCCAGAAGCCCCCGCGGCGCGCCTCAAGCGGCCGCGCCCTCACCGCGGCCATCTTGACCCGCCCGTCCGGGCGGCGGGCGAAGCCGGAAAGGTAGGAAGGGGGCTCTCGTCGGCCGCCTTTGGCGGCCCAACGGGCCCAGGGTACAGAACCAGTCGGGGTAGCAGGCCTCAAGCCCCCGTGTCTCCGTGGGCGACGACCCGAGCCGCAAGAGTCAGGCCCCAACGAGGGCGACCCCGCGTGGGCGTGTCGGAAGTTGGGGAAAGGGCAACTGAGGGCAGGAAGTGCGGGGTGCTTGGGGCCCGTCGGGGCGGGGCTTTGCGGGGAGAGCAGGGGGGCGGAAATGCGAGACGCGCCTTCGGTGGCGGAGGCCGGCCGGTGTCCACGGCAGGGCTAGACAGGTCCTCTCCCGTCCACGGGGCGGAAACGAGGGTRGGGCGGGACGGGACGTGTTCAGTGCCTGGGGCCAGTCTGCTCCAGGCTTCCGGGAAGGGCGGGGTCAGACTGTCCGGAAGTGGCCGGGGCGGGCGGAGGTGCCCGGCGGGGGCGGGGGGGCCATGGCTGGCCAGAGGTGGGCCCCGCCCCGGGCGAGCCTAGTAGGGGGCGGAGCAGCGTGTCTGCGATCCGGTTGCAGCTGGGGCAGAGGTCTGTGGGCAGCCAGAAGCTGCTGTACGTGCCTCTTCCCAGGCAGCCCAGCCCGACGGAGACTCAGGGCCCCGGGATCTGTCCAGCTGGGGCCAAGACCTGGTGTGCCCCTCTCGGGATTCATGGCAAGTCTCAGCAGTCCTCTGCCTCCCTCCCTGCGGGCGTCCCCGTTCACTGATTGCTGAATTGGTTTCAGGGGCTAATTTTTATGGACTCAATGAAAAAGACCACTTTTGGAGCCACGCTCAGCAGGCCTGTAATCCCAGCCACTCAGGAGGTTGAGGCAGGAGGATCACAGGTTCAAGACCAACTTCAGCATCTTAGGGAGCCCCTAAGCAAATTAGACCTGGCAGAAACAAAAAGGGCCAGGGGTGTGGCTCAGGGGTAAAGCACTTCTGCGTTCAATCCTCCCCACCTAACTGAAAAATAAAAAAAAAGGGGGGGACCACTGTTATGCTGTACATGTTCATCTTAACTGTTGTGTCCGGCTGATTTTTGCATATTAGTGGTTACTCAGAGGTCATGCAGTGTCTTTTGTTCTGATAGTATTTCCTTGGGTTTTTCTTGTAGATGGAACACATCCTGACCTGGGCTTGCTGCTCATTTAATGAGTAACTGAGTGTTTTTCACATTTGGCAGAGGTACCCATAACCAGGAAGGGAAAGCCCAAGTCTGTTGCTTTCTGTATGTATGCTGTATGCACATCTTCCATGTCCTTCCAGAGCAACAGTGTACTCTTTTGTCTTTCTCATAGATGATTGTCTCCTATTCTTTTCCTGAGGTGTCTTGTCTTCTTTGGGCGACAGGAAAATGTTGAACTGGCTAGTGTGACATGTTAAATAATCATGTTTACTAACATTTTTGTTTCGAATAAGTATGCTGTGGAAAACTGATTCATGAGACATACCTTAATGTAATTGCATACTTTTAGCACATTAAGTACAATATTTAGTATAATTGTAAAAAAGCATGATTTCTGAATAAATGTTAACTGTTATACATGTGAAATATCAAATGTGTTATGCATCCTTTTTATTTTCAGAAACATACACACAACCCTAATCTCTTGTTCAGAACATTCAGGACCAGAACCTTCAAAATTCAAAAATGTTTGGATTTTAGAATAGTGAAGTGTATACAGTGTAGAGCACATAACATCCTCACCATCTGGGGTAAGGCCTGGCTGTGAAACACAGGAGTATACAATCTTACCAGACTGGAGAAAGACTGAGTGTTCTGCTCCTCCATGTGAACTTCACAGATTCACAACGTGAAGACATTTTTCATTAGAAAAGATTTCAGAATTCTAGATAGCAGAGAACGCATTAAGGATCAGATACAAAAATGATTGGAATAGTAATTGTAGATTTCTCATTTGGTTGCAAAGTTTGATTTCATACTTTTTCTTTTTTAACATCCTGCACATGGTCAGGCATATGTATGTTGAGATGATGAGTTATTGTAATAGTCTTCTCTATGCTTTCTTGAATCAATAGTCCACTATTGCTTTAAATTAATATGTAAGTAAAAAACAACACAAATAAAACTAAGTAGACCCTACTGTGGCAGCGGTGGCATTCAACTGAATCAAAGCAGCTGTACAACTTGACTACTCAAAATTTGATCTCCACTTACCATTCTTTGATTCATCACCTGGAGCATATCAGATTGTTGCATGTGGAAGACATCATTTTTAAATACAAGTGTTGTAGGACAAACGAGGCAAGGCAGCGAAGATAGCAGGAAACAGTTTCATTTGGCTGCAGCCGGGTTTAGAGGGCATAGCTTTTGCTGTAATCAATCAATCCCCTGAACCTCCAGTTCAGGGAGTTTCAGAGTTTTATACCCAGCGTGTAAGGGAAGGGGCTCAGAAGTTCACATAAAAGCAGCTTTTTCTTTCACTGTTTTGGGCAAGTTAACCCTTCAAGGACAGCACCTGAGAAGGAGAGAGCTTCTTCTCCCCTTTCTTTCTTTTTAATATTTATTTATTTATTTTTTAGTTTTCGGCGGACACAACATCCTTGTTTGTATGTGGTACTGAGGATCGAACCCAGGCCACACGCATGCCAGGCAAGGGCACTACCATTTGAGCCACATCCCCAGCCCCTTCTTCTCCCCTTTCTTTCCTCCCCCTGCCAGCTGTTACCACAGAGCCCAGTTGGTAACTTATCTTAAAAATGTAAACATCTCTATGAAGCCCAGCTCAGGGCCAGAGGTCTTGTTTGCACATTTCTTCAAAGTACTATACTGGATACGTTTGTGAAAAACTAGTAAGGGGTGTCCAGCACCTGGAGTGCTGGTATCTTCTCTGCCAGTGGCCAAGTAAACAGGGCGACACGAAAATAGGAAGTTTATCTACATTGAACTCTTGCAGAGACTCTTTTGCTGACAGTCCTAAAACCAGCCATGGTAAAGCAGGCTTTTCTTTGGAGAAAGGGGGTGCCACTTCGCAAGAAGGATCTGTTCATCTTTGAAGTGTGAGCCTGACACCTCACTGAACCTTTAGGACTTCAAAACTTCAGGTTGGAAAAATCACAGCCAAGTTAATGACTTTTTACCTGTAAATTATTTGAAGCATAATTATTTCTCAAAAGAGGCTCTTTGGTCCATTTTTCTGCCACCTGTATGTTCTTTGCCCCACTCCCCAACATCAAAGACAAGGTCAGCACCAAGGTGACCTCACTGGTTATAATGCCCAGAAAGAGGCAAAGAATCTTGAGGTCTGAGCAGTGGGCAACCACTAACAGCCTCCAGAAGATGGTCTGCTTCAAAGAGGAATGCAGGAGGTCCACAATGCAGGGCAAACCCAGAGGAAAACCCAAAACTAGAGAGGCTGGGTCCTCAGGAGAGAAAATGTACAAGCAGGTGGTCTTCATGCTGGTTAAGCTGCCCACTGCTGCCACCCAGGACTGGCCACCCCCACCCCCCTTGCTGTCCCATGTGGGTCATCTTGTTCCTCAGCCACTAGAATGTAGACAAAGAACAAGCCCCAGAAACTCTGCTGGTCCTGGTACAACCCAACTCAGGGTCTCTCCCTGCCTAAGAAGTCCACCTGTTCCTATGAAAGTTCACTTCTGTTTCCTCTTGAATTGTTTATTCTTCTGATATCAAACATGGATGGTTATAAAATACATCCCAGACAACAGAAGGAGTCTGTTCTCAACAAATAGGGTATGAAACAGACTTAAATGATGTAACTTGGAAGAAAGACAATATATTAATGAATAGTCAGACTCGGTGGTGCACACCTGTAATCCCAGCCTTTTGGGAGTCTGAGGCAGGAGGATTGCAAGGTGGAGGCCATCTTGGGCAACTTAGATTCTAATAAACTAAAGGGGGCTGAGAATACAGCTGAGTGCTAGAGCCCTTAGCTAGTATTGGCAAAGCCCTGGGTTTGATTACCAGTCCTGGAAAAAGCAAAGCAATCAACAACAAGAAAAAAACAAATGAGGTTAGTTTATCAAGAAATGCAGGGGACGCATGTGAAGATAAGTTTCTGGAAAGAAATGCTCATGTTCCTTAATGAAAAGTCCAGTGTATAAAGTGTCAGTTATACCCAGTTTACCACTAGACCAATAAAGTTGCCATAGAGTTACAGCAGAGCCTTTTAGGATATTTGACCCTTGGCCCGTGGACTTTTTTCTGTGCTTCCTTCCTCAAAATGTGAGGGCAGGAACTCCCAGCTTTGTGTGTGCATGTATTTGGGGTGGCATTGTAACACTGATTGATGCAGGAACAAGATAGTACCCTGACCCAGGCCCATCAGTGCAAGGTATTTTCCTGTTCATGGAAATTAGGTTGAAGGAAGGAGCAAGCACTAGGAGTAAGGCCCCAAGTTTGGGTTAGATACTTGGAGAGTGTGGCAGGCTGAAAAGGGCCTCCAAAAAAGTTGGTCCTGATTGCTGCTATGTAGAAGCAGGGTCTTGGCAGATGTACCTGAGGGTCTGGAGACAGGGAGACCTCTGGGTTCTAAATGCAATCATATGCCTTCACAAGAATGAGGTGGAGCAACTGGACCACACCTGTGCAGAAAAGAGGTGTGGGCGGTGCCCACAGAAGCAGGGATCAGAGTGGTGCACCCTAAAGCAAGGAACGAGGGCAACTGCCAGAGGCTGGAAAAGGCGATGCGTTCTCTCCTGGAGCCTCCGAGGGGCCCTCAGCCCTGCCGTCTTCGTGACTTCATCACTGACACTGACTTCTCCACAACTGTGGGAGGTCACAGAGAGAAGCCCAGGCTCTCGCGCAGTGATGCTGTCAGTGGGCACCAACTGAAGCGTGACCAACATCTCTGAGGCGGATGGAAAGAAGCAAAGCAACTGAACGTTTGGAGCCGTCGTGGGACTGCCAATCATGTTGATCCCAGAGCACCTCTAACCTGCCAGCCTGTGGATGGAAATTCCCTGGTGTCAGTCAGTTTGAGAGGGGCCTGCTCTTCCTGGTGACAGGAAGCCTCCCATGCAACAACAGTGCCAGAGCCATGCTTGTCTTTGTTTCTGGTTTGAGTCTGTTTGAAACCTCAGCATGACCCTTTGTGTCCTGTTGACTGGCACTGAGGTACAGTGAACATGGCCACAGGTGGGAAGCCCTGATCCTCATGCATCAAGGGAATTTCACAGACATGAACAGCTGTACATGTATCACCCAGGGCACAACTCTAGACCACGTCCAGAGCCCATCCTGCTTCCCGACCAGAATCACAGAAGTAAGCACCACCCCGATTTTCACATGGACGACTTTTTCCTGCTGTGTCTGGTGTCTTCCGCTCAACATTGTGTTTCTGAGGTTTATGCAAGTGAACACTGACCCGGCAGTGTGAGATGCCATGTTCTCCTTACTTTGTTCTGAGGGACTGCCAGAGGGATTCATTTGTTTGTTACAACCAAGCCTTCTATGAACATCCTTTCCTGTGTTCTGGGGACATGTCCATGAGCTGTGAGCGATCACTGCCAGTTCTCCTGGGCAGTTCTGTAGGAGTGTGGCTTGGAGACCTTACAGGTCTGGAAATGCTTGCTGTGCTCTCCTCCACAGATGGGATTCTCATGGGCATGAAGCTCCAACGTCAGAGTCCTTTCTCTTCTGCAGTCCTTGCTTTCTAGCATCCAGGATTCAAACACAGACACCAGTGCTGCCCCCACCCCACCCCCGTTTTTTGTGAGCGATTCTGGTTGGTGCTTGTGCGGTCTGCACGGCCCTTTCAGTCTGAACCACTGTCTGGGCTGGGCTGTGTCTTTTTCATCTTGCCTGGATGCTGGCTGTGCCCTTAGGAGTGTGAAGTTACACAAGGTTCTTCATGATGCTGTCTGGGTGAACACTAGAGTGTCTGAGCCCTTGGGTGTAGGTGTTTAAAGTGACAACATGTGGATTATGCAGGAAATGGTGGGTGGCATGCCCGCCCACAGCCTCTGGTTGAGACATCATGAAGGTACCCATGCTGAAAGATGTATGGCCTCGGGGCTGAGGTTGTGGCTCAGCGGTAGAGTGCTCCCCTAGCATGCATGCGGCACTGGGTTCGATCCTCAGCACCACATAAATATAAAGATTTTGTTTCCACCTATAACTAAAAAATAAAAATATTTTTTAAAAAAAGATGTATGGCCTCTGTGTCGTTCAAAATTGGTGTTTTTTGATTTGTATGATGCAGAAAGACAGTTATCATTGATTAKCTAAGACAATAATTTCCATGAGACATTGTCCATCATATCTAGACACTGAGTTCCATTAGATGTTTCTGTGGGAGATCAAGGGTCTATGTAGAGTGGGATCGCTCCTACCTGCTCATCAATGATTACAGGAGGCTGTGAGAACAGTCTTAACACATTTCAGTACTGAGTTCATGGTTCAAAAATAATATGTGGGTGGAGGCAGGAATACGGCAAATTCAAGGCCAGCCTCAGCAACTTATAAAGAACTTGTGCCAAAATAAAAATAAAGCTGGGTGCTGTGGTGCATTCCTATAATCTCAGTGGCTTGGGAGACTGAGGCAGGAGGACCACAAGTTCAAA